GATGATGCTGGTAATGAGGCAGTTTGTAAGAAACAGATATATTTGATAGGTGAGTTATTCTTACTATCTTGTAGTTCTAAACCTTAAATTTAACATTGCATTATATTCTTGATCATGGGACTAAACACAGTTTTGATAAAATGGTAAATAATCTTTGTGTATTGGTTTATACTCTCACTTTAACAAATAAAGAGATTGACTGTTGATTTTTGGTTGAAATCTGCTACATTTCTAACCAATTAATATACATTTCAGATGCAACACCACCAAGGGTTCAATGTCCAGAATATATACATACAGTATACTATGATGGTGATGATATAAGTGTTGCTTTAGATTATAGTGATGTTAATATAACAGCTAGTGATTATAGTGGTATATCACATGTTAAATATCAACCAGCACCAAATACTACTATCAATATGATGGATGTTATTACAGTAAAAGCTATAGTAATTGATAATAATAACTTAAATTCTACCTGCTATTTTAAATATCAAGCACAATGTAAGTTTAAGCAATTAAAGAAAGAGGTTTTTATATTGCTATCACCAGTGTCAGTCCGTCCGTCAGTCTGTCCATCCATCCATCGGTCCATCCACAATTGCTCGTAAACATTCTACAAGACACAATTCTTGACGGATTTTGACAAAACTTTATCTTTTTGACCTCGTTCTTAAAAACATGGTTTTATTATTCAGTACTGCCCTGAAGATTGAATATTTGCCATCTAGAGTTTTCACGAGCTAAAACAAGTTTTCAAAAACACAGTCAATAGCTCATACTCAATATTATTCAGTATCACCCTAAAGATTTTAAAAGAAGTGTATGACTTAAGGTTGAATATTTCATACTAGTGATTGTTATAGAATCATATATTGTATAGAAAAATTTTGACTTCACTATTGCAAAAACCTGTATTTTTTTAAGTAAAGAGATATCTTGACAATAGTAGTGCAAAAAACAGAATGATATGAGTAGGCCTAATAGCCGTTAATTGGTGCTATATCTGCTGTTTTTTTGGCCTTTTAATTTTCATGGCATTTTCTTACTCTTATATTCCATAATATTTTTGTAAATAATGCTTAAATTGCATATGAACTAATTGCAGCTAAGAGTTGTCCTGATTGGAGTTTAGAAACACCAACTAACGGTGATAAAGCATGTAGTGGTAATATTGGTGGTGTTAATGCTACAGGGTATAGTTGTAATGTTAGATGTGCTCCTGGATATGATTTTGCTGTTAATAAACCAAACCAATATATCTGTATTTATGGGGGCAATTGGAGTCCACATAATTATGTTCCTGATTGTACAGGTATGTGTTGCTTTAGAGTATTATATATATGATATTAAAAACTGTTAAATAATATAATTACTGTATCACTCCACTAAATATATTTGATACTTGATATATGAACATACTGTGTACATTTTTTTTAATATTTCTGTGGATATCTGGCTATGATTCCTCTTTTTAGACTGTTAGTAAGATGTAATCTGATCTACATGAAAATAATTTCTATTTCAGAACAAATCTACCCCAGCTATGAATTAATGCTAGCATTCAACTTTACCTATGATGGTCATGGTGGATGCTGGAATTCTACTTTACATGATATATTTGATGAACTGAAGAAATCCATCAATAAAAGTTGTTCTAATAATGATTTAAACATTACTGTTTACATCAACAGTTCATTGGGATCACAGGTTCATGTAAGTTTCTAATATATTTAGATCTAGACAGAATTTATACACTTGAAGGCTTAGTTTACAATAATTGAATTAGAACACATTGTATAACTCAGTAAATGTAAAAACGGCTGTGATCACAATTAAGTACAACTTTTCAATATCATTAACTACTGATAAACAACCAATTACCATGTATTTACATTCCCTTCAAATTAAAATAAGTCAATTAAGGGACTCTTTTTCTCATCACTTGATTTTACATACAGGTGAGATGAAAAGGGATTATAGTTTATCAACAATTTCTAATCATCAATGATTAATTGTAATATTAAACTGTCTTGTTGATTAACCATACCAGTCTAAAGTTTTGAGGAAGTCTAATCTAAATGGATAATATAGCCAATATTTTAAATCAATTTTAGTGATTTAGCGCTTATTCTCACCCAATACTCTTCTTAGAGACCACCATCCTTAAGAGACTGATTTGGATTATTCCCATGATTGATCTCTTAATACAGTTTCTACTGTACATAAAGAGATATTACACTCTGGCAATTGCTAACTATTGCTAACCAACATTAACTTATTTCTGATAAAATATTTTTTAATATTTCAGATTAGGTTAAAGATGTATGTAAATATTGCAATTTCAAACTCTGGCAATACATCACCAACTATTGCTAAATCTTGTGGTTTGAAGATCATAGAAATGATCAATAACTCGACAGATTTTGTTGTGTCCACTGAATCTTGTGGTAACTCAACTCTATTACCCCCTGCTGATGCTGTACATGGTGATAAATGTCCAGATGGTCACATCTTTAAGAACAACTATTGCTGTAAGCAAAAATATATTTTAATGCTAACTAAATTTAGTTGATGAAGTTATTTCCTTTTTTTAATACACCAGTTCAAAATCAAGATAAGCAACTAAATGTAAATCACTTTTTTGACTTTTGATATTCTAGTTAATTTAGCCATTTATAATCTAAAATCTGCTAGAAATTTATAGAATTTTGTTTTCTCAAGTCATACTGTTTTTATTTTATATTAATTTTTAGTGGCTTGTACAAAAGGAACATATAAAGATGAAAACGTGAATAAATGTATGAATTGTCCAGTGGGATGGTATCAGGATGAAGTAGCACAAACATCTTGTAAACAATGTACAGACAATACATCAACTGAATCAGTTCATTCCAAAAATAGTTCTGAATGTATTTGTAAGTAATCATTGTTAATATTATCATAGAACTCATGTTGATGATGCTGATGTTTCTATAAGTGTAAATCAAAAAGAAAAATATGTCAAAATTCCTCAACATACCATAATAACTGTATTAATAACAAAACATTACTCAGTTTGGAATTGGTACATAACTATTGTGTATTCTCAAGGAGAAATGAAACATAAACTTATCATAATAAAATTGAAGATGTATCAGTGTATTCTCAATGAAATGAACTTTTATATGTTACTTCTTTCTAAAAGAAATTCATACATGAACTGTACTAAATATTGATTCATGATTCATTTTTATACGCCCACACGTAAGATGGCGTATATTGTAATCACCCCGTCAGCCCATCCGTCGGTCCGTCTGTCCGTCCGTTCACATTTGGCTCGTGCTCACTCTACAGGCTACAATTCTATACGGATTCTTTTGATTTTTTTTTTGTGTGTCAATATCATTATGAAGATGATCCCTATTGATTTTCGTGATGATCGGATAATTTTTCACCGAAATATCGTGTCTGACTTGACGTTTTACTCTATTGGCTATATTGTGCAATTCGTGCTCACTCTACAGGATACAGTTCTTTACGGATTCTTTTGATTTTGATTTTGTGTGCCAATGTTATTATGAAGATGATCCCTATTGATTTTTGTGATGATCGGATAATTTTTCACGGAAATATCCTGTCTGACCTGACGTTTTACTCTATTAGCTATATTGTGCAACTTGTGCTCACTCTACAGGCTACAATTCTTTACATTCTTAGATTCTTTTGATTTTGATTTTGTATGTCTATGTCATTATGAAGATGGTAAATATATCGAATTTCATAATACTTACAATCAAAGCTATCTGTGGGCGTATGTTACCTTGCCTGGCAAGCTATATTTTAAACAAAATTGATATACAGAATACTATAGAGTTTTAAAATTGTTAGAAAAGAATAAAAGCATGTAACACTTAACAACAATAGAGGTATGAAAGTTTTTTTCATCATGATTCCAAAGCTAACCGAATTGTATCTCTAGAGATAATTTCTATATTTCAGTGAAATGTAAAGAAGGAGAATACTCTATCAATGGTTTGTTTCCTTGTAATCAGTGTTCATTTGGTTTCTACCAATCTACCACTGGCTCTACAACCTGTACAGCATGTCCTACAAATTTTACTACAGTTGATATCGGTTCAACTTCTTCTTCTCATTGTAAAGGTATCTCAGAGTGTTTTTTGTGTTTTTTGATAATGTCACATGAGTTTAAAAGATGAAGCATTTTATAAAACTAGATGTTCCTATCCTTTTGAATTATTTTAACTTTGAACATTGAAAGATTTTGATTTAGGATACAGCCACAAATCTATTGTTCCTGACTATCCTTTTTTCCATTTTGAAATTTGAAAGAAATGTAATACAGATTTCTGTTGATCTTAAGAGACTTATAAGGTTTTATAATTATTGTTTGACACAGCAATTCAAAGAATCTAGATTAAGGTTGGCTGTTTCTGTGTTATTCTCAGTACAGATGCTTTCTATATTTGTGTTTTTACTGATTATGATATATTTTAGAGAGATGTGGTGTTGGTTATTATAATTATACAGGATTAGAACCCTGTCAACCTTGTCCATATCATTTCTACACTAGTAATATTAGTTCTATAGTATGTACCGAATGTCCTAATACTACTGTTACCACATCTACTGGTAGTACTAGTCTAAAAGATTGTATTGGTGAGTCCAAAATTGCTATTTATATTCTTTTCAAGTTTATAGGTCACAGTCACTAAGTTTAGACACTTGGTTAGAAATTTTCTTCAGCTAGAATATATCTCTATACTTTTTTTGTTAACAACATCTATCAAAATCCAGATGGACATCATTTGAAAAAATTTGGATCTTTCATCATATAATTTCAAAAAAATCTTTCAAAGTCCTGGATGTGTCAACGTCCATCATGTTCATATGATATCTTTACTACAGTTTTTATGTTTATCTATATGAATCTTTGTCATTGAATTTCTGCCTGTATGTTACATGTTACTGACTATAGTTTTTCTTTATGATATTTCACAGAGTTAGATCAATGTGAAAACAATGTGTGTAAAAATGGTGCTACTTGTATTAATAAATTTAGATATTACACTTGTTCCTGTGCTAAAGGATTTACTGGTGAGTTTTCACCTTAAAATGCTATTCTTTAAGGAGTGAAGAAATTGACACTATAAAAGATATATTGCAACAGCATTAGAGTATCATTGAGGTTTGGGTCCTGCTTCACACATAATCTTAAGATCACTTTTGTTATTTCTCAATGTAAGATTCCAGGAAACAGGACCTGGGCGAAGAGGAAATGAAAATACAGTATACCGATAAAAAGAAAGTAGTGCTAACAAACCCAGTATTTGATGTAATTACATGGGTTTTTTATTATTTAATTTGTAGGTGATACATGTAATAGTAATATTGATGACTGTTTTAGTCAGCCATGTTTAAACAATGCAACGTGTCAAGATGGAATAAATTCATTTCAATGTACATGTCAATCTGGTATGTATCTTATTTTCTCTTAGGTTAATTCAACTTATGATATAAATTCTTGTGTAGATGAGCAAGTCAATCTGACTTGAATGAGAATTTGGATTCATTTTTAGAACATTGGATTGTGTTGTCTGCCTACTCTTTGTCCTTGTTTTAATAATGGGCAATTCAACTTATGATCTGAAGAGAACTTTGTCAGATCAAAGATGCCAAGTAAAACCTGCAGAAAAGATTCAAAACAAAACATCTAGATATGTATTTTAATCAATTTGCTGGAACCAAAAAGCTTTGAGACTTTGAGCTTGTAAGGCATTACATATTTCTTAGAATAATCTTGAATGTGGCGTTCCATAAACAGAACTTATTCACAGTGGAAAACAACATTAAATTACTTTATTTTATCTATCCTAATTTCTTATTCCTTGTGAAGTAAGTGAATTGAAGAATGCAATGGTTCTATATTTGATGATATAATTCCAGGTTATACTGGTAAGAACTGTGAGACAGAAATAGATCTATGTACTCATGATTATTGTGAACATGGTGTCTGTGTACAGAAACATGGTGTTTTATCTTGTCAATGTTTTAATGGTTACCAAGGAGATAGGTACATAATAACATATTTAAAATGATCTAGAATGTTAGAATTTAGAAAGGGTGAATATATCTGTTTCTTGTGCTGATCAAGCTCAATTTCAGCTATCCATAGCATTTTGTAGAATTAGTTCACTCTGTTTTCAAGTCAAGGGTGTTATTGTAATTCTTAACTCAATATTTCTTTAAACTCCCAACATTTGACATTTTTATATGTTACTTGCTTTTAAACAGATTCTATCTGTAGTTTTTTTCCAGGCATATGCCTTCCTAATTCATCAAAGTGAGAAAAAATTATGTTATTTTTTATTATTAGGTGTACAAGTGAAATCAATGAATGTGTTGAAAACAATGTACTATGTTTACATGGTGGAATTTGTAAAGATCTATTAGATGATTATATATGTGACTGTTCAGTAGGTTTAAGAGTTTTTACAGGATTTATGATGGCTTTAATGTCTATAAATTTGGTATATAATTGACTAATTAAGAGTTACTTTGTTACATATTTCTGCATCCATGTAATTTTCATTAGCACATCTACCAAGTGAGGTGTTTCACAACATGTGACATTGCCTGTCTTCATTATCTCAATAATGTTCAGATTAAACACAATAATGTTACAAACAAATTCAAATTTAAACTAGACTTGCAAGTAAAACTCTAGATGATATGGTTATCTTTAATAATATAATCATTTAAATTATTATAGGATACAGGATTTACAGGAACACATTGTGAAAAAAATATTGATGATTGCTGTGATTGTAGTTGTTTAAATGGAGGAACGTGTAATGATTTCATAAATGGCTTTGATTGTACTTGTGCTGAAGGTAAGAATTACCATATTGCTTCATATTTTACTGTAATAAAAACAGTTAGTTTGTATTTTTTCTTTATGGAATGTACACAAACAAACACAAACAATAGAGATAAATATTTTGTTGTGTATCAGCGGTTTTGACAGCTTAGATATTGTTACATTCAGTCTATGTATGATATTGTATTTTTATAGGGTTTACTGGTACAAGGTGTGAAACTATGGTATCATATTGTTATTCAAGTCCTTGTGAACATAATAGTATATGTACTGATAAACCTAATGGTTTTACTTGTACATGTAAGGTAAGTTTATAGTACTTTACTTTGTCTTTAGAATGTACATTCAAAAATCTTGATGCTTGTCAAATGTAGCAATGTGTTCTTCCTTTTGATATGTTTGAGGGAATGTTTAGGCAAATTACCTCAAATAATTCGCAGCTTGCTCCTGTGTTTATAACAGGAAATATTTATTTGGAATTAAAGTGTTTAAAAGTGCCCAACTGCTGTGATTATAACAGTATTAAAACAGTACCATTATAAATAATTTCAAAACAAGATATTTAGAAAATAATAGTTAACTACTGTCATTTTTGTTTATAGCCTGGTTATGAAGGTATATTATGTCAAAATGAAATAGATGAATGTGAAAACCAGCCATGTTTAAATCAAGCAACATGTTCAGATAATATTAATTATTATAACTGTTCATGTCCATCAGGTAAATTATATTTTTTACTGAAAACAATTGTTATATTCAATTTTGATCACTTGAACAATTTAAGTTATATATTACATTTTAAAAACATCTGGGTTCAGTTTAAGCATTATGATGAAAGGAGAAAATTGTACTTGTTATCCATAAAATTGTACCTTTGTCAAAACGTCGCAAGTTATTTATTAAAGTAATTGTTATCCTTAAAATTGTGTCCAGTTATTTATTGTCCAATTACTAAATGCCACTTTAGGAAGTGATTTATTGTAGGTTTTACTGGTAAGAACTGTGGTATCACAGCTATTTGATTTATTCTAGGTTTTTCTGATAACTGTGATATCACAGCTATTTAATTTATTCTAGCTTTTACTGGTTATAACAGTGATATCACAGCTATTTGATTTATTCTAGATTTTACTGATAATAACAGTGATATCACATCTATTTGATTTATTCTAGGTTTTACTGATAATAACAGTGATATCACAGCTATTTGATTTATTCTAAGTTTTACTGATAATAACAGTGATATCAGAGCTATTTGATTTATTCTAGCTTTTACTGGTTATAACAGTGATATCACAGCTATTTGATTTATTCTAGGTTTTTCTGATAACTGTGATATCACAGCTATTTGATTTATTCTAGCTTTTACTGATAATAACAGTGATATCACAGCTATTTGATTTATTCTAGGTTTTACTGATAATAACAGTGATATCACAGCTATATGATTTATTGTAGGTTTTACTGGTAATAACAGTGATATCACAGCTATTTGATTTATTGTAGGTTTTACTGGTAAGAACTGTGATATCACAGCTATTTGATTTATTGTAGATTTTACTGGTAATAACAGTGATATCACAGTTATTTGATTTATTGTAGGTTTTACTGGCAATAACAGTGATATCACAGCTATTTGATTTATTCTAGATTTTACTGATAATAACAGTGATATCACAGCTATTTGATTTATTGTAGATTTTACTGATAATAACAGTGATATCACAGTTATTTGATTTATTGTAGGTTTTACTGGTAAGAACTGTGATATCACAGCTATTTGATTTATTGTAGATTTTACTGGTAATAACAGTGATATCACAGCTATTTGATTTATTGTAGATTTTACTGATAATAACAGTGATATCACAGTTATTTGATTTATTGTAGGTTTTACTGGCAATAACAGTGATATCACAGCTGTTTGATTTATTGTAGGTTTTACTGGTAAGAACTGTGATATCACAGCTATTTGATTTATTGTAGATTTTACTGGTAATAACAGTGATATCACAGTTATTTGATTTATTGTAGATTTTACTGGTAATAACAGTGATATCACAGTTATTTGATTTATTGTAGGTTTTACTGGTAAGAACTGTGATGTCAATATTGATGACTGTTTACAATCTAGATGTAATATTGCTGGTACAGATTATTGTGTTGATGGTATAAACAACTATCAATGTGTTTGTTTACCATATTGGACAGGTAAAGATTTACATTTAAAAAACCCTGCCTTGGCTTTGGCTATTATCTTGTCTTTTGGCATAAATACTGCCAGAATACAAGAGTAATTAAGAGCAGGAAAAGTAACTCAGAATAACAAGATATAGTTATTCATACTTGCATGCTCATGTTCTTACAATCAATACAGTAACAGGAGTGATCATAATTGTTCATTTGTTTGATGAAATTTAAAAACATAAAATTGATTCTTTGACTGGATCCAATGAGATGCTTTACTTATTGACCAATACCCTACCTAAGATTTGATAATTACAGTTATATGTATGTCAACTTGTTATGTTTGTTTTTTTTTAGTGATAGGTTTTTAACATTCAAGCGCAGTTTAAAGTGTTTTTGATGTCTGATATGATCAGGGTAGTATTGAAATAAAAATCCACTATGATAATTGATATAACTTGTGTTTGTAGGTGATCTATGTGAGAATAAGATAGACCAGTGTGTAACAGAACCATGTTATAATAATGCTACCTGTACATCAATAGATAATGCTTATAGATGTACCTGTCTACCAGATTACACTGGCTCTACATGTTCAGTTAGTTTCTTTTTTATTGTTTCCTTTGTGTAATATAACTTGATATAAATAAAGTAAACACTGAGATTCAATCTTTGGGTGCTAGAGTTAATTGAGAAATATCATCAATGTTCATGTCAAGTGAGGGTTCCAATCATTATATTATATGCCAAGGGAATATAGTGACACATTTAACCAATTCAATATCTTTAAGTTTGGATCAACCATGTTCCTCAATTTCAACTCTCCAAATAACAAGGGTCAGACTCCAGGTAAAAACAAAATTTGTCTATGTGATCAATTCACATTTATGCAAAAATAACTTTCTTTATAGGTACAAATAGATGATTGTTTAGATAAACCTTGTTTACATAATGGAATCTGTTTTGATGATATTAATAACTATACATGTAATTGTGCTGATGGTTTCAAAGGTAGAAATTGTGAAATTAACATCAATGAATGTGATCCCAACCCTTGTAAGAATGATGCTAAATGTTCAGACTTGATCAATGGATTCACTTGCAGGTAAGATAACTAATAATTTCACTGTGAAACAATGATTCATATATGTTTGTCAAGATGTGGTTCTTCTTTGTTCAAATGCTTCAATCCACAAAATATGCAAAATTCATAAGCATAGGTGTATTTTTCTTGCAAGTGTTGTTTAATTTGTTTTATCAGTTAAGCAATTTATTTTGTCTTATTATTTCTACATGTATATACTGTGTAATTAGTAATATTTCTTGTAGATCATTTTTCATCCATTTTGTGGATCATCCAATCTTGAATCAATGTCCCTACAGTTTAAAACACTGTAGTTCGGTGAGTGATGTCAGGATATCTCAAATCAATGAAATTGAGTGCAAACATAAGAAATAAATTTACAGTATCTTGTATGTTTCTTTTATTAGACTATCTTTTTTTACCATCAGATGTGAAGCTGGATGGAATGGTACACTATGTGATATTAATATTGATGACTGTACAAGTCAACCCTGTTTTAATAATGCTACTTGTGATGATCTTATCAATGATTTCTCATGTAATTGTACAGAAGGTAAGTGCAAGAAAAGCATGTGGAAAGGTGCTTACAAAATCAAGAACTCAAAATAGTGTTAGGTTCTAAAATTTTAAATTGAGCATTAGGACATGCTTTGATGTTGATAAAAAATTTAGAAAAAGAATTCCAGATAAGCCACCATAAAAAAAAAGTGTGATTCAAGTTCAAACTACATATGTAAAATCACATAAAAATTTAACGCACCATCTGATCTTTGTTTGGATATCCTAAAGGTGTTGTGAAGAGGTTTTCAGAAAGGACACTGATACATCAATTTGCACCATTTCAATTTTAATCAGACTAATTGTTTGATGACATAACTAATCGCTATGGGCCTTATGATAAAGCATAGTTTGCGATTATTGACACTTTGAATGGAATTGCAGGAACCACAGACATCTGATTGAAAATTAGTATGGTACAAATTGTTGCTATCAGTGTCCCCAATACATTTTAAACATTGCTTGTCCATATGATATTTGACATTGATATTTGTTACAGGATATGATGGTAAAACCTGTGATAATAATATAGATGATTGTTATCTACAACCATGTAAGAATGGTGGCAGTTGTACTGATTTAATAGGAAACTATAGTTGTCAATGTCTAGAGGAATATGAAGGTCATCAATGTGAATTCAATATAGATGATTGTATATACAATAATACATGTTTAAATAATGCTACATGTAAAGATGGGTGGAGAGATATAACTTGTCAATGTACACCATATTATACTGGTGATGACTGTGGAAAAGGTACTGATACATAGCAGAACTGCCAATCAAAAAATGTTGTTATACATATGATACTGAAATCAAATGTATTGGAAATTAATACTACTTTTTATACCCCCACATGGAAATGTGGACATATATTGCTGTCGCCCCTGTCCGTCCGTCGATCGGTCCGTCCGTTCACATTTCTTCACAATCTTGATGAAACTTGGTGTGCATGTATATATTGATGAGATCTCGGACAAGTTCGAAATTGGTAATAATCTGAAGAACGGTTTCAGAGTTATTACCCTTGATTTAGTAAAAACGTGTCAAATTTGCCTTGTAGGCATGATAGAGACTACAGTTTTTATCCAATCTTCATGAAACTGGGTATGCATGTATGTATTGATGAGATCCCAATCAAGTTCGAAATTGGTAATAATAATATTTGAAAATTCATTATTAAGCCACTAAAAATTTTGTCATCATTTCTGACAGCTGGTAGTGGGTGTATGTTACCTTGCCTGGCAAGCTATCTTTTTTATTACTGTAATGAGGTGATTACATGATCCATGAATTTGCATTTAATGTACATGCTTGCTTTTATCTCAGCATAGCAAATGGAAACGGAAAAGGAGTTAAACATCTTCTTTGAACTAACTTTCAATTAGTAATTGTTTTCTGCTTGTTTTTTTTCAGAGAAAACTGATGATTACGATTTACTATTCCATGGAGTTAATGGTTCTATTTGTCAGCCTAACGATATAGATATAATACATAGTAATATCACTCTATGTTTCTGGGTTAGATTTGCTGATTTGAAGGGAAATGGTACTTATTTTAACTTAATATACGTCACAGGGTTAGTTAACTTCTTTTGAACTTTTTACTATGGAAACTGACCTAGTATGTGTTTTCAATGACACAAGATTAATCACATTTCAGAGGATAAGTGATATTATTTGTACTCATACAGTGCATGCGTTGATATGCATAAATTCTTTAATGTATTTCAACTCTTAAATAAATATAATTAAAAGTTCTAATTGATATTAAAACCTATAACAATGTTTGTGTCATTACCTTTACTGAACAATATTTGTAAGTTTTATGTAATGCCCAAAAAAATATCTTCACACCTCCAAAATTTTTGAAATGACTAACCTTTGACAGTCATCATTTTGAATGATAATATTATTGTTTCAGAGCTAAACCAATTCTGGTGCTATCATCATCTGATTATACTGTATCTCTAGACAGTCAGTCTCAACAAGGAGAACTCCATGTTAATGATGGATTTTGGCATCATATCTGTTTCTTATATACATCTTATAGTTGGTCTCTATATCTAGATGGTGATATAGCTGATACTTCTACTTTTCAAGACATATCTATTCCTGAAAGGTATGAACATCTATATATCTTTTATTTGTCTATTGCCTTTTTTCCATTTTTCCAACAGAGCAAGATTTTTAAAGTTGTGTGGGAAAGTCAGAAATGAAGAAGATTCGACAGACTAGTCAGTAGACCAAGATTACTGTTTCCACAACCGATTCCTCCTTCTGTGAATCACAGTAGTGTATAAATGTTCATGATTTTGACTTGTATGATGATGTATGTTAATTCCTACTGTAGATAATGCAACTTTATGTCATGTTAACAGCCAAAATATATTATAATCCTTGTGCTGCATTTTGTTTAATTTCACGATTGGCTGATTTAAATGAAGTGATTAAAATCCTTGATTCAAATCTTGATTTATATCAAAAAATAATATATTAAACAAATCAAGGCTTGAAATAAGTGTCCGGTACAATTTCGGCAAAGGTCTGGAACAATCTCATTTGAGCCAAACATTTTTGTCCGGTACCAAATCTATGAAAAAATATTGTTTTTCTTGTTGGAAAGATCGTGAATTATCGTGATTCTGACCGTTAATATTTCCAATAGACGTCAAAGTTGCGTGTTCTTGAAAAATGTTGTTTTTCGCATAACAGATTGACATTTCTTGCCTCGGAAAACAAAAAAGTTCGAAACGACAATAACATAGTCTAGATCATCCAGATTACTAGCACCTAGAGAAGACATGCAAGGTCTGGATGATCAGGTCAAAATACGATTGAACGGTGTTGTCCGAATCTTTTAGTAATTTTAATTCTATAATTACTTTATATAAACATGAGATGATCTTTCATATGATACTAAATAGTATAATCACGATACGATACGATTTTATTTAATTACGGCTTAATCGTTCCCAGAGAGTCACAGGGAATATAAATAATCCCTATGGCCAATTTGAATGACATAAACTATTCTTAGCTAGTTGTTAACCTGTATTGCACTAGCAGGTGAGAAAACGGCGAATTTCAGTGCTAAATTGATAGGTATTAAATACAATTTTTCAATTGAAAATACCGTATTTTTTATGTCCAGTACAAAATTTCAAATGTCCTGCCCATTTTCTGGAGTTATTTCAAGCCTTGATACAAACCGATGACTGTATAATGAACAGAAAGTTAGTATAAGGTATTGAGACTGGTTTATCATTGAATAGTTAAATGTATAGATTCCTATAAATTTCAGATAACAGATTTAAAAATATCATTGATTTAAATCAAGTAATTCTTAAAAGGATAAAACAAATTATTGCACCATTAAATGTAACCAAACTTAATACCATACTAAGATTATCAATAAACACAATTCCTAGTCTTGCATATTTTGGATATTTCAATTTTTTTTCAGTCAACGCATTATTCTTGGTCAATCTCATGATGCTGGCACCAACCATTCATTCCATGGTGAAATAAGTCAGTTAAATGTATATAACTATACAGTCAATGAGAGTGTGATATATGAACTAGCTAGTAACTGTACTAACAGACTAACTGGTGATATATTAGAATGGCGAGTAGTTAATACCTATATTAAACATGATGTAGATATTATACAGCCTACTATTTGTGGTAGTTCTATATGTCCACCTGGTTATAGAGGTACTAAATGTGACATTAAAATAGGTAAGTCTTTAAAACCAAAGATGTTTTTATCAAGTTATTCTATCAAACTGACATCAACGAATCCAGACAACCAAGAAATCAACTTTGTTTATATATTTGGTCATAATTTGATAAAGCAATATATCTGATTTAGGTGTTTAAGTTGTCTGCGCATTGACAAGTTCAGAAAGAACTCAAAAAACTTGTTGATTAAACAACTTCTTGGCTCTTAGAAATAAAAGACAGTGTCCTTTAGAAGAAAAAGATTAAATTTTTCATTTTTTGTCTTTGGTTTTATTCAAGATAAAATTCCACCATTAGTACACAACTGTCCAGAAGAAATAATCAAGGTAACTAACGGTAGTGCTAGAATAGCTGTAATATGGGATGATCCTGATTTTACTGATGATATAGGTGTAACAATTATACAACAAACACATAGATCAGGTTAGTAGTAGTATATCTTGAATACTGAGAATACTGTCAATTAGCATAGCCCACAACTGAATTGTAATGTTATTTATTTCAATGCTATTGAACCTGTTAAGAATAAAAGAGTGAAGCAGTAGGTAACAATCCATGGTCAATACATAATATGTGGTTTTCCTACAGAACAGTCAAAAAATTCAATAAAGTCTTTCTGACAAAGAGATACCATGTTTTTTTAACATTTTTCAGGTCAAGTATTTCCATTAGGAGAATATCTTGTTAGTTATATAGCTTATGATGCTGAGAATAATTCTGCTGAATGTAATTTTGGTATTTTTGTGAAACGTAAGTTTTGTTACATCAGGTCATTTTGGGGGAGAGGTTACTTTCTCATTTTTTGGCAGCAGTTAATTTATCGGAAATTTCAAGACTTGTATAAGATCAAGATGGAATTTTTTTTTAATGTTTGTAACTGTTAGATGTATGTTTGAGAATTTTCCATGACTCAGGAACAGATTTAGCTCTTACCAAGATGCAACACATTCTATATAAACTTAGCATGATGATTGTCATACAATTATGGTTTTCTCAAGCATTTTCTCTGTGGAATTTGAAAATGTAAAGATAGTTCCATATTTCTTTCCAGCATTTGATTGTGTAAATCCACCAGCTCCTCAGAATGGTCTGGTGGCTCGTAAAGACTGGGAACATGGTAGATACTGTATTATATCATGTATTGATCCTGTACAATATGATTTTGTGGAGTTTCCACCACCATTTTATAGATGTGGCAAAGAAGGATTTTGGGATCCTCCCAGAGGAAATCCTTTCCGTTTTCCACCTTGTGCTGGTAAGAACTTATATGGTTATTTTTATGTACATTACACATTAATTGTCCCTTTATGGTGTAAATGCCACAAGATTGTTTGGTTATACAGAAAGAAGGCTATCACATTATTTGTAGATAGAAGTAGTCTAGGACAGGCCCAATATTTTTGTATATGATGAGGCTTTTGACCCTTTTGATATTGAAATAGATGGTGAGTTTAGGAATTCGGTTCATCCTTCTTCTTATTAGCAATTTAATTTATGAAAATTTGTACTAAATAAAATAATCAAAATGGTCTAGCAGATCAGTCTGTTATTTCACATGTGATATGTTGAATATTTATCAGGAGCCACAATGACCATACATATTTTGTACATAATAACTAAAGCATACAAAATTTGCATAAAAAGTTCAATTTTTTTCAGCTTTGTTTCCACCAGAATCTAATGTGGAAGGAGGATTAGAGTTTACAGGATTAGAATGTACGGAAGAAAGAAAAAAAGAATTAAGAGTACAATTTATACAGATATTGAGTGAGTTAGATGAGAGATTAGGATTATGTTCACCAGGACCATGTAGGTATGATGGTATAGTGGTAGAATGTGGTGCTGATGGTGGCAGTAGAGTCAAACGTTCTGTTCATGATTTTAAAGTCAAATTTAATTTCAATATCTCTTCCAATAGGTTGGTATTCATTTAAGACGTATATAGATTATATTTTTCTTGACTTTTGTTTAGTTGTTTTGACTATATAGTAAAGATGATTTAGGCACCTCAAAGGTATTATTAACATATCAACAAGAAGAGACTTTTCTGAATGGGAACAGTCTTAGTTTTTGTTCTGTGGTAAATTATTTGCAATGTTTCATTTTCTTTCAGTTCTGCACTACAAGATGGTAATAAAGAATTTATTGCAGAAGAAATAGAAATCTTAGTTAAAAATGGTGATTTTGATACCACTGATTTTAAAGCAGATGCGAATACTTTATCTGTTGTTGTAAAATTAGAATGTGAGATAGGTCAAAGTTCGAGATTAGTACAAGGAACCCATTGGAAATGTGGTAGGTATATCATAGATTTTCTTTGTCAAAGTGTATGTTGTTATTTAGTTGCAGATTTTTGTAAATCAGAATAAGACTTTTAATGAAATTTATTTGACATAATTTGTTTCTAATCCTATGAAATATGTTCTTTTGTGAACTTAAGGATAATGACTTTAAGATTGTTGTTTATTGTTTTGTTATAGTTAACTGTCCTGAAGGGTATTATTTAGACAATAATGAATGTTTACCCTGTGATATTGGTCAATATACTGATGAAGAAAAACAAACAACTTGTAAACAATGTCCTGTTGATATGACAACTGGTTCTCTAGCCTCCACCAATATTAGCCAGTGTTATTGTAAGTCTATGATATATTTGATGTACTGCTATACAGTAGGAATTGAGATAAGTTTCATAATGACGCATCTTCTTCATAAACATTTCACTGTTAGGATTTGTGTATTCCTATTAGGAACTAGTTATTTACACATGAATTTTCCCCATAATGTATTTAGAATAGTGTTTTTTTGATAAAACTAAATGTCATTTATAAACAAATAGAGGCAAATCAACTGCCCTGGTTTAAACTATATATTTCGGGTGTGTTTCAGGGTATGCTTAATCTTCTAGACATCGTTTTGTTTGGATCGTTTAAATATACTATAATATGTCAATATGTCAATGTAGTTGCTAAAAATGATTTTAGAGAAAAATTAACAGAATTGAAGTTAGTTTTGAACAATTTGTACAGTTTTAACAACTAGAATACAAAATAAATTTCTCCAAAACGAATTAAGAAAAGTGTTTGAAATTTAATTGTTGAGCATACAGGCGTAATTTTTATACGCTCACATGAAATGGGGGGCGTATATTGTAGTCACCCATGTCCGTCCGTCCGTCCGTCTGTCCACAATTGCTCATAAACACTCTACATGGCACAATTCTTGACGGATTTTAACGAAACTTAGTATGTGTGTTCGCAATCACCCAAGGATAGACCCTATTGAAAATCAGCGAAATCGAAAAATATTAAGTATGAATTATTGCCCTTGTTCTTGAAAACGCGTTCAATTTTTAGCTCGTAAACACTCCAGAAGGCACAATTCTTGACAGACTCTACAAGTCACAATATTTTTGTTCATAATCACAATTTACAATAGATGTCATTATTTTCCTGGGAAACTATTTTGGTTAACAAATAAGAAAATTTAATTTAATCATTTAACATGTCCCTAACCAGCCACCATACATGTACAGCATCATAAGATACTATAAATAGACCAAGTGGAAAATCCAAGACAGATATCCAATCATAGCTTAGTCATGTGACATCCCAAGATGCAGCAGTTTATCTGATTTCATTTTATAAATGTCATTCAAGAGAAAAGGTTTGCTTAATCATTTCATTTTCACCAATTGTGCTGATACAAAAATGAAATTAAACATGGGTCATAGGGGAAAGATTTTGTTTCTTGGAAGATTAAATTGAGTTGCTGGATAAGTAGGCTACTATAGGAAAAATATTTAGTATGAATTATTGCCCTTGTTCTTGCAAACTTGATGAAATTGATCACAATCAAAACTAAACCTTTTGAAATATAAAATACAAGTTATTGCCGTTATTCTTACAAATGTGTTTGATTTTTAACTTGTGATGGCACAGTTTGTGATGGATTTGGGTATAAGTTGAATATTTCCGGGTGTCTATGTTTGCTATTTTCTAACAAATATTCAATTTCAAACAAAGCTATCAGTGGGCGTATATTACCTTGCCTGGCAAGCTATCTTTTCATATATTTACGTGCTATTTTTACTTTTCCACAAGAGTTGCATATTTTGATTTTTCTCTTTTATGATTTTCTATCGATCATACAGATTATTATTTATGTTTTAGCTCTATGTGATGTTGGTCATTATTATGAAAGTATCTCTAGTAATTGTATTAAATGTAATATTGGTGAATATCAAGATCAATCAGGACAAACTCAGTGTAAATCATGTCCTATTGGTGAAACAACTAAAGATATAGGATCTACTAGTATAACAGATTGTAGTAGTAAGTAAAGATAGTAAACCATAGTAAATTTCTGAGATCTTGTATTACTCTACAGATGTCAAAATGTTCTGTTCCTGCATTGTGACAATAGAATATTTTAACTCATATTTCAGATAGACAGCCTGATGATTTGAGCCTATGTTGATATTAAAATATGTGGTTTGTCAATCAGATTGTCAAATGGTCTATGCACTGGAGAATTTTCTTGCTCTTGACTTTTCTTGATTTGTTTGTAAGACCTGAACCCAAATTATTGAAATTTTTATCAATAAATCAAACTAGGATTTATTGTCCAATGCAGAGCAATTTTTACAAAAAAAAAAATTGGTAATAAAATCTTTCAATGTGATCCAAACATTTTCTCCTCCTTTATGAATTTCTGTTAAAAAGATAATTGTTATTTTCAGATTTATGTAAATTAGGAGAAGAACTATCTGTAACTGGAGAATGTGTGAAATGTCCTAAAGGATCTTACCGAGATGATTTAGATCAAGAGTATTGTCAAGCTTGTCCTTATGGATGGTCTACCTCAGATGTTGGTTCAACATCTATATCACAATGTACTGTAGGTGGGTACACTAGAAACTGAATTTAAATTGATATACATGAATATGGTTTGCTACAAGTGTTTTAAATTACCCCAAAATTACCATTTTCTTGCCCAAAAACATTAATTGAGAGAGCGGACTCCTATTTGTATGGAGACGTTACTGTAAATGTTTTTGTTGTGTGGATAGGATATTGAAGGGCCATCTTAATCAAATAAATGGTTTAATTCCAGCTCACTGTCAGCGTGGTGAATACCTAAACGAAGATAATACTTGTGAATTATGTGAAAAAGGAACATATCAACCTAATCGTGGACAAACTAGTTGTATAGCTTGCGGTAGAGGATTAACTACTAGTGATAAAGGTTCTACATCACATGATGATTGTAGACCAGGTCCAATAGATGAATGTAGACTAGATCTTGATGACTGTGATGACGATGCTGAATGTTTAGATGAAGAAGATGGCTTCAGCTGTGTTTGTAATTTTGGTTTCACTGGAAACCTAAATGGATCTGTTTGCATTGGTTGGTTTTTCTTTTTTTTTTTTGTCACTGTAGATAATGTTTTCATTTGATATAAACAAATTGCTGGTATGGTATATCTTGATAAAATCCAAGAGATAAACACAAGTAGTCCATATTACTTTCTATGTTCAAGTCGTGTTTGTCCCTTCTACATAGTTTCATTTATTCTACCTAAAATTTAAAGATACTATTCTTGTTTATGTTATGAATCATTCCCATAACCATCTAGCCATTCACTCTAATAACATGTAAATTATGAGCATAGCACAAGTAGACCTAAATCAACCCTGTTAAACCATCTTTAATACAGAAAACATATATCTTATGTTTTAGATAATTGTGATAATAGATGTGATATACATGGACAATGTCACTATTATAATAATGGTAATTCATTCTGTTCTTGTCAAGATGGTTACCAAGGTGACAGATGTGATCAAATAGAGGGTAAATTAACTCTTTATAAAGAATATTTTTTTGTGAAAAACTTCATTCATTTTTCATTCATTATTTATTGTTTATTCTGTAAGTCTTTTCCGAAATAAAAATTTTAAATCTTTATATTGATACATTATACTATGTTGTGATCTATTTTCAATTATTCTTAATTTTATTTACATGCTATGACCATGTTTTCTCCTTGTGACCAGTGCTTCTATTGAACCAGTATATCTAATACTAATTACTATAATAATGTTTTGTAGAGGGTGTAAGTGGAGCTATAATTGGTGGTGTAACTGGTACAGCAGTAGCTATTGCATTAATAACAGTTATAATAATTGTTCTCTTCTCTAGGTACGTCTTATTTATATACTGCCAACATTGGCTCATTTCATGAGCTGCAGATAACATTCCAACTTGCTGCCAATTAACAGAGTTATAACATTGCCCATTAGTGAAAATTATTGATTTCATTGTACTTTCATTTTCTTTTGTTTGGTCAAAGTTAGTTGATGTGTTTTATCATTTTTTTTTAGTAAAATAACAATATATATCCATATAGTCATTGTGATTCTATACTTAATTGTAGGAGAAAGACAAAATCAACAGAGTTTCAATCAAATGAAAGAATTTATCGCAATAAACAACCGTCTTTAGTAGCCTTTCAAAATGGTGCGTATGAAGTTCTTGATGCTGATAGTGTATCAGACTTCTTTATGGAGAGTTTAAATGCTAACAGATGGAGTCGAAGTGTATATTCCCGGGTGAATGAGGTATCAGAAGTAACACATATGTAAAACTGTAGATTGTTTAACATAGTTTTAGTGCATTAACAGTAAATAGGATCTAATATAAATCAGTAGTTAGTCTAATTTGTAGATAGTGTAACAAGAAAAGATATTGATATAACCATAACTGGCCATTTATAACATCTACCTATTTGACATAGTAAATACCATACTATTATATAACAACAACTAATGTTATAATAAGCCTCATTTCTATAAGTTCAATAGCAAATTTAAAATCGACTGTCAAAATTTACTTTGGTTGTGAAAACTGAAATTTTAAATGCTTGAGATGGGGCCTACTTTCTAACAAATGGTATAGATTACGTCAAATACAGTACAAATGAATTCTAATGTAGACTTATTACACTTAGCTAATATTGTATATTTAACATTTTTTGAGATATTGTCAAACTATATTATTTTGGAACATTTGAGTTACCCCACTACCAGATACTTCAATTAGAGCCAAAAGTACAGAACTGTCTAAAAGACTTTGTACTTTTAACTTGAATATACACACAAATAATTCAGCAAACTAGATATGCCTGTTCTACACCACACTAAGAGTCATTAGGATCTAGTGTTTTTCATGATAAGTTTCGGGGTGCATACCATCAAATAGGTTAATATTTACAGTCTAGCATGGAAACATAAAAAAGACTTGCATGTTATTGTTTGATTACTGTGTTTGCTTCATACTGTTTAGCCCTACCATGTATTTTATAAAGAATTATGAAACAGCCTCTATTTCATGTAAGAATATGACTTTGATGAATACATCCACTGGTGATGTGGCACTTCTTCTTAAAGATGGGTTCCCTTAATTTCATTTATGAAAATGAAAATGCTAATACTTACATGAATAGAAAGTAGAGGTGTTCTAATGACAAAAAGTGTTTATCCAGACTGTACATACGTGTACTTTTATGATTGGTTAAAACTCTTAATTATGTCAATAAGAACATGATGCTAGGATTAAGAATACACGTTACTTCATTAGAAACACCAATTAATCAAATAGTTGACACTAAAAAATAAGGAAACCTATCTTTAATATCTACCTCATATGATTGTGATACTGAATAATTGCTGATATTTTTAATGCCTTATCAGGGATTAATACCTACTAGCATGGTAACACTTAGCTTTCTTGCCACTAATTTATGCATTTCATTCATCACCTTTTGTCTTCATATATTCCAATGATATTTTCGAATTATTAATATACCTTTATTTTGATACTTTTTATATTTCTCTTGTTGATTTTGATTGTTAATAAAAAAAATTATTGCAAATTATTTGTTTGTTTTTTTTTTGTTTTTGGAATCTTTCGTTCATTGGCACTTTTATGATATGACACTCAGACTCAGCATGGCATGTGTATATATATTTTTCAACATAGGAAATTATATATAATACACACAGGCATAGGCTACAATGTAGAAATGGAGTAATGATATTTTTTTTAATATGGTAACTACAAGACTGTCTTACATTTATATAATTTTGGAATATTATAGAAAATACATCTGAATTAATATAAATTTGAAACCAATAGTCACAAATAGATCTTCAACTTTAATTTGACTGTAACTAGTTTTTGTTTAATCTTTTTCACTATTTTTATTCAGAATATGGACAATTTTAGTTGGTCAGATGAAATAGAACTAGAAACAACATTTACTACTAATATGGATGCAGATCATTTTGAACCAATAGAAGATTATTCTACATCTGATGAATCATCCATTACCAGACCACACAGTTATAGTTCATTCTTCTAACATATTATTACATCTGGTGTATTGTAAGGGTGATACCTTCTAGCTTTGTCACTTACAGTACTCAAAGACTCTATCAGTTACTCTGAGGCTCTATCAGTTATTCTGAGACTGTATCAGTTACTCTGAGGCTCTATCAGTTACTCTGGGTGGTTACAGTCTCTGCCTGTGTCAGATATGAATGTTAAGGTGAAGGTTAACATTTTTGTCAGTATTCCAGTTAATTCAGCAGTTTGTGGTTGTTAGTACATAGGATAGAAGCTATAAGACAGTATCCACTCATGTGACGACGTTCTCAAATCGGTTTTGATGGTGTTAAGACTATTATGGACCATTGTATGGCAATATAATTGTAAAATGTATATGAACATATGATAATTTTTACTGTTTGTTTTTGTCAATTTATAAACCTTTCCAAGAGCAAAGAATCAAAATCGTTAAATATATTGAGATATTTTATAATGTTTGTTAGTAAAATAGTTTGTCTCATGAAAATTAAAGTATTGTCTCGTTTAACATAAAAATGAAATGTTAATAATGATTTGATGTGCTAGAAAATATCCAAATTTTATTGTAAATGATGTTGAAATGTTATCAGTGTTGCACATATATTATTCTAGGCTGTACCCATCATACCAATATAGATATCATCTTCACATCACTAGGTGTTCAATTACAAAAAGATTACTGAAAGATAAAACTGTGCTGTAAACATCACATTACATGTTCAATTTAGCAATATGGCATATTGATCATCTTATCAAATATATAGCTACATATATATAGCTATATTTAAAATGTATTTTATCAAAACAGTATTAGGTATATTATATAGGGTAAATTAATTATTTTAATGTCACAAACCTTGTGAATATATAGTAAATACATGTATTTGATTGCATTTATTTTTTGTGTTTATTGTGTTTTTCCTAAACAATGTGCTATATGACACTTAGATACATTGTACATAACAATTTTATGCAAAACATTTGTGTGTATTCAATGGTCAATTTAAGAAGCTGAAATTGTCCAAAGCTTACATTTACAATATTGAAATCTTATTTCTAAACTGTAAAAATAAGTTATGTAAATAGATCATTCACCTATATAATGCTCAATATTAAGATATAGATAATATTACATGGTATAAACATTCCAATACCAGTGTTAAAATAAGCATATGAATCATACTATCTGTAATGATGTTCCTTAAAGGATATGTACCAGGACAATATAATCTGCTGAGAGTCAAATCCTCTTTGACCTATCAGATTGGAAAATATTAGATTAGAATTTGGAATCTGTTCTTAGAGGAATATAGATTACAATATGATGAACAGTAATAGAATTATATTAAGTATAAGTGTAATTGAGTTTTTATATCTTTTTTCTGTAAATAGAATTGTTAATATTTTGATAGTTTTATTGATTGTTATGCATTTTATTGGTGCCATACAGCGCAATCACACTGTCATGGATAGAACAGATAGTTTCTTCAGAAAGTTTCGCCATATTGGCAGGCCTATTCAATTTGCAAATTTAATTTGTGACCTGTTGGGATGTGACCATTTATTTATTTGCATTAGGCTGTGAATAATAAGTGTTAACAATAAGTAGCAGAATTGGCATTTCTGTTCCAATAAAATTTCTTCTATTACACAGATTTGATTGTAGACTTGATTGTTCGAGGGGCAAGTAATATATCCGAAGGGGCAATGGTGTGTGGTGTCAAGTTGTGGCAATAGAATTTTATGAGGGGTCATTGCTACCTTGACCCCATTAGCTACGAACTTGTTGCACATGTATTGCAGACGGACCTTGCCCAATAATGTGAATTCGATTGATGGCAGTGTGAATTTCGCTGGAGAAAACATATCTTAGTATGTTATATATTTTGTTTGATAAAACAATTGAACTATACAGTATTTGTATGATTTATAAAAATATTATAAATTTAATTGATGTATTTCATCATCAAAACGTTACTTTCACTACCTTGTAGTACCCTCTCACCTCGTACCTATATGGGCTTGCTCTGATCGTTCGTCAATCAGAACGATGTCAGCATTTAGACTTCCCCCCAATCCCAAAAGAGTCGAGTGTTTCGCATTTGAAACTACGAATGGTTCTTACGTGGAATAACACAACAAAACAATTGCATTGGAATTTGAGTTGAAAATATTTTTTCTTGTAATCTCTCCAGAAGTAATAATCTATGAACAATCTTCAGTAAAACATAATATTCTGTTTGAATTGAAATAGTTTTGTTGAAATCCATAGTCTCTACTTGTGACCTAGGCCAGTGCTTCTCTAGGTGCCATGGTCACTCGCGTCTGTCCGTTTTTTTTCTATCCGTCAGTTGAATATGTAAAGTAATCAAATGAAACCTATTGGATTGCATCATTGTGGTCACACATAGGACTAGACGTACGTCGAAACAAAGTTGACGTACGTTAAATCCTGAAGATTTCAATGTCAAGGAATGGTTATATAAAACTTCACGATGACGATACCAAGAAATTAATGTCTGGTGCAACAGAACAGTACCCTATATGATAAGACTAATAAGTTATATAAAGATGTTATCGAGAACATGTGGGAATCGATAAACAAAGTCATGGACAAAACAGGCGTTACAGGTACAGCTACGTTGAAAAAACACTTTGAAGAAAATTTAGAAATTTTTCATTAAATCACATTTTAGCCAAGATCAAGTTTTTAAGAGCTTCGTACTTGAAACCATGATGGCTACTCTGGCAGCTAAAATGAAATAAATGTAATCGATCAAGGACGAATGGGTGAAGAGTTGGCATCGTCGAATATCCACAACCCGCTCATATTAGGCCTACTAAAGTGTTCAATTTCAATTTATAAAGTTTTTATAGTTTTTTTGGGTTTTTTTGGACGTCGCTCGTAATTTTCTTACCAATAAAGTCATTTTATAGAATACCACATTTATGTAGGTTCAATTCTCCAAAAATCGTTATTTCACTTGCTTCATTTTGTACAGATATTTCTAGCTAGTTGGCCTATAACACGAGAAGGTCTGGTTGTATTCCCTGAAAGTGAATTCCTTGAGAATATGAAAATATCTTGAACATAAACTAGATAATCTTAACCTCAATGCATTTAGCTGATTCTCTGGAAATTATGATGTCTCAAACTGTTTATCATTTCCTAGAAACTATAGGGGGTCGCGATGACTTAGTGTTAGACATTTGCTCTTCCATCTGTAGTTTCCCAGGGCCTACCTATTGATATATCAAAATATATGTCATTCGGGCTGGTCGGAGTGGTTTACAAGTGGTTCCATAGCCCCCCTCCCCACCCAAATAGGCAGAGATATAGTATTTTGCGCCTCTGGTGCTCGGAATCGTGCTTCGCCCGACATCTCAACTCTTCAAAAATTTCGGGAAAACTAGCTTGTCCCCAGTGTACGCTATGAGTCGTTCGGATTGGCATCAACTCCAAGCCCCGTTTGTTACAGCTTGTCCCTCGGCGGAATGGAACAAGAATTAATGTTAATCCTGCGGAATTTCGCTCAATGCACGTACATGACATTACCTGCTTCATAAGCCAAAGTAGTAGGCTTGAAACTTTAGAGAAGGCCTAAAACGCAAAACTCAATTTCATTTCATTCCCATGATAGGCCTATGATCATTAACCATATAAGCTATTTGGATGATACATTCAACCATGGACCATGTTACAGTCAGAGTTCATGAGTGAGATTACAAAGATAGTTGGCTCTAGATGAACGGTTTCAGATTGCTGATTTTTGAGGTTTTGCCTAGAATTATAAAGATCATATATGAAAATCCCATTAAAGACTTTGTTATCATTTCTGACAGCTGGTAGTGGACGTATATGTTACGTTGCCTGCCTTGCGATAAGCATTGTTGAAGGTCGAACGAATTATAATTGTTTGTCAGAATTCTCGAAGTGGAACGAAAAATTCCAATTTTAGAATTCTCTTTAAATTGTAAATTCTCAGATGTCGAGAAAAATGAATTCCTTGGAATTAGGAATGGCATAATATCAATAAATATAGCAATACAAACCAAAACCTATAGGCTACATTCGAATTCATAGATATCCCATAGTCCGTAGAGGTATAACAGTCTGCAGGTATATCTGTCTTGGTACGGTGTTATAAACGTAACGAAATGTCTTCAGTTGGTGAAGAAAAGATGAAATATGAAACTATAATAAAAGGAATGACCAATGGATTTGATCTCCGAATATATTTCAGTAAGTGGGAATACTTTCTCTTTTTGGGGGGGTAGGCTACCGTAGGCTTTATTATTTATTATCCTTGGCATGTTATCTGAAAAAAGATCGTCTTATATTAATAAGTCGCTTTTCCCATAATTTAGGAGTTAGATCAGTGCGCGATACATGGTCCAGGATAAAATAAAAGCCTTGATCTATATCTTTATGAAACCGTTAATGTTTTTGTTAATTTGAACATTAAAATTGAAATTCTAGTTCTATTCGAACAATTTATGGTCGAGTGACAGGAAGGTCGTTCGTTTTGGGACCCGTCTCCACTCACAGAAGCATCTTTACGAAGGAGCACACGTAGCGAATTTTAACGTGCGCTTATTCGCACTGGATGATACATCCGACCATGGTACAGTCGGAGTGAGTGAGATTACAAAGATAGTTGGCGCTAGATGGCGCATTGACAAATGCTTCGCGCAGACTCGAACCGGTTTATTGACTGATCCACTCCAATGCAACGTGTTGGCAGACTATTTTCATTGATTAACGGTTCAGGTGGCAGACGACTAGAAGTTTTTTGTCGTCACCTTAAATCACAACAAATAGGTTTAAGAATGGCTTCTGTATACTCAGTTGAACAACGGGGACAATCTAACAGTTTGAATTACAGACTATTCTTTAGTAAGATCTTTTATTTTACTTTCCTGTCGGTTTAGACGGTTAGTGTTACGCTAGTGGTCGCTGATCAGTCTTTTCTCACCTTCTTCATAATATTTTGCGATTCATGTTTTATCATTTTTCCACAAGTAATAGAGTAGTAGATTAAATATGATTCTAAAGAAACTTGGATAGATAGGATAAGGTTTAGCCTATAACTCAACCAAGTTATTTTATTTCTACTGTATACTGATTAAAAATTATCACTTTCTACTGTATACTGATAGTGATAATTCAAAGATAAGAGGCTATCTTTGCTAGTTGAACTTGAGCTAGTGTCACTGTGGTCTGCATCTAGGCCCTACCTATGGAAGTGAATGGGTGGGTCACTGTAAAGACTTGTTTAAGAAGAGGTGACAAGCATCTCGAGGATCATGACCCGGCCCCATTTTAAAGTACGGTACCGGTACTGAACGTCATTAGCCTAAAGCCTGCTGCAAACGGGAGGAACTAGCTTATCTCCCGGTAAAGAGGTTGGGAGCTGAGCTGTTACCCCAGTGGGCGCTGAATTTTTAGTGAGACTTCTGCAGCTAGAGGTTGTGAGGAAAATATCTAATTTGATATTTTCTGCTTCAAGAGGCCAGAAATTCGCCTTGTGCAGACATCTAAGCTGCCAGATGAGCTAGAAAAAGAAGCATACCAATAGAAACGTGTTGACAGATCACATAATATCAACATGGTAACCGTGAATGATGCAATTTTAGAAGATCTACTTGCTGAAAATGGCAATTCTACCCACAGACCCTTCAATATTAAGAAAATATAGGCAATATGGAGAAAATAGTGACAAAAAGCACTCTTGTCTTGATTTTGAAAATAGTCAACTTCCATCAGCAAAACACCTTTACACTTATGCAGTTTTTTTGTGTTGGACTGCAGTGTAATGGCGTTTTGCTCATGGACATTGACTATTTACCAGAACAAGACAAAAGTGGTCTTTGTCAAGTACAAATTGATTGATGTCCAATAAAAATTACACTGCAGTCATAAGTTCAAAAACACTAAAAAAGTAAAGTAGAGGCCTTTCACGAACAGATAAACAGCTTTATTTACATTTGTGTCTGTTGTGCCATTGGAAGCCTTCTCATTTTTATACGCCCACATGAAATGGGGGCGTATATTGCCGTCACCTCATTCTGTCGGTCCCTCCGTCTGTCCGTCCGTCCACAATTGCTCGTAAACACTCTACAAGGCACAATTCTTGACTGGTTTCAAGGAAACTTGGTATGGTTGTTTGTAATCACCTAAGGATGAACCCTATCGAAAATCAGAAAAATTGAAAAATACTTAGTATGAGTTATTGCCCTTGTTCTTGAAAATGCGTTCAAATTTTAGCTTGTGAACATCCTAGAAGGCACTATTCTTGACGGATTTTAAAGAAATGTGGCTTGAGTGTTGGTAATCACCCAAGGATGAACCCTATTGAAAATCAGAAGAATCTAAAAATATTGAGTATGAGTTATTGCCCTTATTCTTGAAAACGTGTTCAGTTTTTAGCTTGTAAACTTTCTAGAATGTACAATTCTTAACAGATTTTAAAGAAATTTGGCTTGAGTGTTTGTTAACACCCAAGGATAAAGCCTATTGAAAATCAGAAAAATCAAAAAATATTTAGTATGAGTTGTTGCCCTTGATCTTGAAAAATCGTTCAATTTGTAGCTCATAAAAACTCTAGAAGGCATGATTCTTGCCGAATTTTGACAAAACATTGTTTTATTATTCATTATTGAGCTGAAGATTGAATATTTGTCTTCTAGAGTTTTCACGAGCTAAGGAATTGAACACGTTTTCAAGAACAAGGGAAATAACTCATACTCAATATTATTCAGTATCGCTCTAAAGAGTTCAAAAGAAGTGTATGACTGAAGGTTGAATATTTCATACTGGTGATTGTTACTGTACTGCTAAATATTTTTATTCAAAATCAAAGCTGCTAGTGGGCGTATATTACCTTGCCTGGCAAGCTGTCTTGATCACTTACGTGACACGGATGCAGTTGGAACATTCAGATCGGTTGTTTTAGTTGACATAGAGGAATAGCTCAGGCGAGAGTTTTCATCTGCAGTGAAAAAAGTAGTGATAATGTTGGTCAGCTAACAGCCTCTCGAGTAGGCAGCTCGTCTAGATCTTCTTGTCTACTGCAGGCTTAAACCAGAGTGTTGTGACATTCTATAAGCCAACCTATTAATATTAAATTATTTGTTGTTTTTTATTTGCATCAAGTGTAAGCTTTGGATCTAAGACTAAGTGAGTGAGCAAATGTCAAATGAATATATTTGGTTGAAAAAAAATATTGACGAAAGAACCACATCTGTCTAGATCTATGTGGGCAAATTATATAGTAAATACTTACTGTTTGAACTCATTAATGATTCAGGTATTTTATTAAGATAGTTATTGTTTTACAAACTGCAAGCTGTCTGTTTAAGTAAGTAAAGTTCTAACTTCTAACTCCAGATAGGAGAATAAAACTAAATTATTATTAATATTATCAAGGTCGTGTAATAGGCCACACCATTCAAAATATAAATCTTGAGTGGCTATGATAAAACAAAAGGCTACAGGATTATCACATCTACATGTGACTCTAAAATAGTAATCTGGCTGTATAAGACACTTTCAGGACCTGAGTGTCATGACATACTATCCTGTAATGTTTGCTACAGGATGTATAAAAGTTATATTTTTATAAAAATAATCCCATCCATCAGAAGATGTTAAGGATATATGCTTGAGTTAAGGCAATTAGACAACGATCAATAGTTGATTAGTGATCAATCTACCAATAAGCTTCTATATTACAAAGTATGATATTATTTGACAAAGTAATAATATAAGCTTATGCTTTTATTCTTGTATTCCTGGCTCATATAAAGACAAAGTGCAATATTGATTATAATAGCTGAAAACATTGTTACAATGATTACTTTCTAGTATCATGCTAATGGAAAAATCTAAGGTTATTATGATGGTCATGGTCAGAAAATTTGAATGGTCTATCTTTTTTTTCTTTTTTTAAAATGATTATTACAGACCAAATTTCATTATTTACTTTATTTTAGTACAATATGGTGGGAACAATTATATATTAAACTGAATTTTGTTTTCTGAATGAGGTAATACAGGTCAAAGTCTGTTTGTTTTCTAAAATAAATATAGTAAAAATGTACTGAGATAACGTTAGTGAATTATATTGGTGACATTTATGTTATATGTGATATAATGTTAGGCATAAATACTTTTTATACACTTACAAATATCTATTTAAACCATAATAATTTGACACTATTTTTGGTCTAAATTAGCCGGCTTATTTAATAGGTTAATACTACTGTACTACATCATATATATAAATATGGCAGATTATTACCTTACATCATACAGATAAAATAATAGAACTAAAGCCACACGTGGCACAGAGTGGGACTTTGCAAATGTAGCAAAATGCAAAAGACTCTGAAAAAATCATCCTTCTACGATAATTACATCACGCGCAAGAGCAGTCTAAAGTGGAGAAGAATTCTTTGGAAGATTGTTATAACGGAAGTAGACAGACCTCACAAATGAAAGTATCAGAAGATAGCCAAGGTCAATGACATTTGACATTGAAAGGGAGACGGTCAACAAAGGTCAAGGTTACGAGATACAAGTCATCAAAATTTTTGAATATATACGGCTATAAAACCGGAAGTTGAGATAGGACAGCAAATATAAAAGTATAAATAGATAGTCAATGTGAATGACCTGTAATCCTACAAAAATCAGGGTCAAAAAAGGTCAAGGTCAAAAATTGAAAATTTTGAATTTTCAAAAGCTGTTCCTTTTTTTGAACTATAAAGCTGAAACAATCGAACTTCTAAGACAACGTGGCTCAACGGATGAAGTAATTGTATGCAAAGTTCCATTTTGAACAAATGTATACGTTGCGAGTTATGTCCCTTGCCAAAATTGTCAATAATGAGTAATTTAACCTGGATGTGCTAGGCCCACCTCAATTTCGTTTGCATAGGTTAATTGATATTCTGAATGTTATGTTGTGTTCCAAATTTAAAGCTTCTACATCATACAGGTCAAAAGATACAAGTCAACAAGAGTCAATAAATATAAATCAAAATAGAAAATTGAAAATATGGAAATTTCAAAACCTGTTCCTTTTTTGGAACTATAAACCTGAAACAATTGACCTATGAACACAAACTGGCCAAAATAATGAGGTAATTGTGTGCAAAGTTCCTTTTTGAACAAATGTATCCTATGCGAGTTATGCCCCTTTCCCAAAATGTAAACAATTAGTAATTCAACTTGGATGTGCCACGCCCACCTCAACTTTTTTGTCATAGGTTAATTTATATTCAAATTGTCTTGTTGTGTTCCAAGTTTCAATGTTCTACATAAAACAGGTCATAAGATATATACACACCAAGCTCAAAGAAACAGAAATATTGTAAAAAAAAAAACTCAAATTTGAAAAATTCACGAATTTCAATTTTGCTTTAAAAAACGATTGTTATAAATCACTTGAAAGAGCATGAAAAGCACATTAAGAATCCGAAAAAATTAACCCTCTAGGTTAATTAGGTCACGTACTAGAGCAGTCCAAAGTTGCGAATTTGACTGTTTTCGGACAGCTATATAACCGGAAGTACATGTCGAAGGTCACATGTCAAAGTATTAACTGATTGCTAAGGTCAATGACCTTTGACCTACTAAAGGTCAAGGTCACGAGATACAAACCTTCGAATATTGAAAAAAATTCGACCGGAAGTTACAAAAAAGCAAAAGTCAAATTCAAAAATTCATTCGCAACATTTTTGTCGCCATCGACTAAAGTATACACCAACATAAAAATTTGACTAATCCCATTCTCCCCCGAAGCCCCATTTTGAGTTTTATGAAAAAGTATCAAATCAAGATGGCGACCAAAGTATTTTTCGGACTAAATTTTATTTTAAAATCGGCCATAGAATTACGATTAATAACGATATACATAATTTCGTTGAAATATTTCAATCACACCGGAAGTGAAAATCAATTTTCCACTTTAACCGGAAGTAACGCAAAAATTTTGAATACGTCAAATGGTTTACATTAGTGACATGCATCTTTTATCAAAATTTCAGATAAATCCGAAAAAAACTGAAAAATGGTCGAAAAATTTCGAAAATCGGCCAAAAAATGTATGCTACAAATTTTTGAAATTTGAAATTTTTTAACTCATATCACATCGGAATTTACTCACAGATTCCAAAAATTCCGAGCAAAATCGGCCCAAAAATGTGGCTTCCAGGGTCAAAAAACCCGTTTTTTCTCAGGTTGCAATGTGCAATTTGCATTTTTGCAAAAATGTTCCAATTTATATTTAAAAAGTAGGTCGCCATGATGCGACGTCAGAACATATTTCAGAAATGTTGCAGCTAACATAGTTTAGGCAAAAATCGAAAAAAAAAAAATAAAAGAATAGACATTTCGAAAAAAAACTGGGACTTTGCACCAGCAAAGTCCCACAATAACTTGCAACTTATGAATTTGGGGCATAAAACTTAGAAAGGTCAATGTTTTTGAAATCTTACCTAGTTAAAGAGTTATGTTGTGAAGTCATCACTAGATCTTTTTTGTAATGATAAAACTCATCAGATATACCTGTAGTCTTTGTACATATATTGTACAAGTGTTGGAACTTTTTAAATAAAATATGCCCTCACTTCATTTCTCCCATTTCAGAGGATCAGAAGGGGAAAATTGTTTCACCATGGCATGACATTCCTCTAAGAGTGCCTGGAACAGATAATGTTTTTAATATGATTGTTGAAATTCCACGATGGACCAATGCCAAAATGGAGGTAGGAAATTACAAAGATTATTATAAGAATAAGAAAGTAGTGGCATTCACTAATCTTCAATCTGTCTAGATTTTTTAGCTATTTTAGTTTAACAATCATAGTCACATAACGAAACTGACTTCAAATTTTGAAGTTCAAAGACAATTGATTTTTATACGCCCACATTATATTGCTGTAGCCACTGTCCGTCGTGTGACCTTCCACAATCGGCTTGTGAACACAATAGAGGTTTTTATCTGATTTTAATAAAATTTGGTGTGACCATTTATATTCATGAGATCTTGGTCAAGTTCGAATTTGATGATCTTACGATGAATGGTTTTTGAGTTATTGCCCTTGACTTAGGAAAAAACATCAAAATTTGTTTGTGAATACAATAAAGACTACAGGTTTTATCTGATTTAAATGAAATTTGGTGTGATCATTTATGTTGATAGGATCTTTGAAAAGTTCAAACTTTTTGATCAACGGAATTTGAGTTATTGCCTTTGACTTAGTGAAAATGCATCAGAATTTGTTAGCTCGTGATAAAGGTGACAGTTTATGTCAGAATTTTATTAAATTTCGTGTATTTGTTTAAATGAACAATATCTTGCACAAATTAGATTTTTGGTATGATTTGATACAGATAGGTGACTGCCCTTGATATACCGGTACCGGTATTGAAAAATGTATCAGGGAAGTAGGCATATCTTGCTAGGCAACCACTTGTTGACTCTCATCGTAAAAAAAAGACCCTAGTTACTACATGCAGTGTACTTTTTTTTATATATATCTTTGAATATATTTTTTCTATTCATGACTATTTTTTTAAACCAGATCTGCAAAGAAGAAAAGTTAAATCCTATAAAACAAGATATTAAGAAAGGAAACTTAAGATTTGTTAAAAATATATTCCCTCATCATGGATATATTTGGAATTATGGTGCACTTCCACAAGTAAGTCTCATTTCCTGTCAAGAATGATGATGCTTTTTTGCTGTAAACGTATTAATAGCATTCTTGACTGTTATTAATAGTGATTAGCGGTCGTTGAAAGTCCAGCGATAATACTAATCGATTCTCAGCGACGTCGGCAGACCCTATATATAGTCAGTCATGTTGTTTTTTGTTGATAATATGAATTTCGAATAATGAATTTAACTTAACTTATTATAAGATTAGGCGACTAAAACAATGAGATCCTGATAATTTGTCACACCTTTGAAAAATTTTTCTTGAGGACTACCCTTAGATTCAACACAGAAACAAATGAGTCATGATTGTTACTATACATAGTATCATAGTCACAGATTGTGCTAAATAAGGTATTATACTGAAGTGGATTGCAGACGACATTTCGGGGAGTAGAGAAGAAGAGCATAGGTATGGCCTAATTGCAAAAATTTCTGCTTCATCATTTAACGATCGAAATACGACACTTCTATTTGTAACAAAATAATAACAACTTAAAAATGTCCATTTTCGCAAGGAAAAAACGCAAACCCGAGATTTAAAAATTATCGGTTATTAAAAATGCTTAATTGATAGCAAGACTTCCACATCATTAAAAAGTGCTAATACTTCACAAAATTTGAAACGGCTATTTGATTTCGGTCCATACAGCAAAAAACTGTTATGCAAATAAAAAAAAGTAATTTGATTTCTCAAATTTATCATAATTAACAAAACAACTATGAAATTAATTTATATAGCCTTAAAACAAATGCATGTTCATTAAATGAGGCGTGTTTCGATTATTAATCAATTACATTTATGCCTCTCCCATTATTTCAATTAATCGATTATTATTTTCATCGGATTGCCCATCACTAGTTATTAACCTTTGAATTCACAACACTATTGTATGAACTTACTATTTAATTCTCTATCTGGGAAATAAAGCAAGTCGTTCTATTATTGAATAGCAAATTATGCTATGATAAAATATGATGTATCATGTAATCTATTTAACTTTGTTTTATAGACTTTTGAAGATCCAACATGGATGACTGAATCTGATCATGGTAAAACTAAAGGTGATCAAGATCCATTAGATGTTTGTGAAATAGGAAGCAAGGTATAAATAGCTTTATTTATATTTTCAGATTGAATTACATTAGATAAGGTTATTTATACGCCTACATGAAATGGGGGGCGTATATTGCCGTCACCCATGTCCGTCTGTCGGTTCGTCCGTCCGTCAACAATTGCTCGTAAACACTCTACAAGACACAATTCTTGACGGATTTTGACAAAACTTGGTATGAGTGTTGGTGATCACCCAAGGATGAACCCTATTGAAAATCAGAATTATCGAAAAATATTTAGTATAAGGGCAATTCCATGGTAAATGATACTGATTTATGAAATTTAGAATAAATCAGAAAGTTTAGAAACTTATTTTATTTCAATAAGAATATATTATACTTAATTATTTTGGGAAATTTATTATGAAAAATATTATTTTGACGAATTTTTGGAGGAATATCTTGTGTATCAGTAATTTTATGAAATTATATCAATTTTGTCTATTCATCTTAATAGGCTTGTAAAACATTCAAATCACTATTGAAATTAGTTCTGTTTAGATACACATGTAAGATAAGGAACATTTTTCTTCTAAAGAATGAAAAATTGAAATTCCTTTGTTTAACTTTTTTAACAACATACCATTTTTAAGTCAGCGGTACAAAATAGTACGTCCATTACCATATGAGGCTATTTTTCACTGTCAAACATTTATTAACACATGTAAAAATATAGGGTTCTATAATCAAAGCTAACTAATTGCCCATAGTATGCTCATAATGCAGCTGTTTGAAAATGTTTAAAATTTCAAAGTTAAGGCCCTATTTCAAATTGTGTGTCCGTTACAAATTTATGTACGTCCATTACCTTGTACGTCTGTTACCTTGATTTAAGGCAATCTTATTGCATTTGTGTTGTTTTCAAAATCATTTATATAATACATGGGCATGTGTTGGTAAATATCATACCTGTAGGCCTTGCCAAGGGACAGATCACTGAGCTTAAGGCCTGCTCAAACTTGTCTTTTTGCTCCTAATTATTGGTTCCTTACATGAAATGGGGGGCGTATATTGCCGTCACCCATGTCCGTCGGTCCGTCCGTCCGTCATAAACACTCTAAAAGACACAATTCTTGACTGATTTTGTCAAAACTTGGTGTGAGTGTTTGTAATCACCCAAGGATGAACCCTGTTGAAAATCAGAAGAATCGAAAAATATTAAGTATGAGTTGTTGCCCTTGTTCTTGAAAACGCGTTCAATTTTTAGCTCGTAAACACTCTGGAAGGCACAATTTTTGACGGATTTTGAGAAAACTTGGCATGAGAGTTTGTTATCACCGCAGAATAAACCCTATTGAAAATCAGAAAAATCGAAAAATATTTAATATGAGCTAAAAATTGAACACGTTTTCAAGAACAAGGGTAATAACTCATACTCAATATTATTCAGTATCGCCCTAAAGAGTTCAAAAGAAGTGTATGACTGAAGGTTGAATATTTCATACTGGTGATTGTTACTGTACTGCTAAATATTTTTATTCAAAATCAAAGCTGCCAGTGGGCGTATATTACCTTGTCTGGCAAGCTGTCTTTATACAACAGAACAAAACAAAACAATTTCATGTAGAATATATGTGTCTTGTTGTAATTTAGGTACATGCTAGAGCATCAGTTATTCAAGTTAAAGTATTAGGTGTTATGTTATTAGTAGATGAAGGTTTGTAGTTTATTTTTATCTTTAGATATCCATTTGTTTAGATCAGATAAGTCTATTCCAGCTATGATGGAAGACCATCATCTAGATATTGGCTCTTGTCTCAAATACATAGGCTATTGTCTCATATCCAATAATAGTTATGATTTTATTATTGATAATAGGTGAAACAGATTGGAAGATAATAGCTATTGATGTCAATGATCCTAAAGCAGATATGGTCAATGGTAAGTGACATTTAAAACAATTTGTTTGCCAAAAAGCACATGACAAAAGGTATGTTAAGATTCTGTGTTCTATATTGATTAACATAAAAACATAGTCATTTTTATAGGCCCACATGGAAATGTGGATGTATATTGCCATCGCCCCAGTCAGTCCGTCCGTCAATCCAAATTTGTTGTATGCACGACAGAGGCTACAGTTTTTATCTGATCTTGATGAAACTTAGTTTGCATGTATATATTGATAAGATCTCGGTCAAATTCCGCTTCGTTGGGTCATTTGTCTTGTCACATGATAAACCAGTGTTATTTCCCCATAATGATAACAAGATCCACATTCATTCCTTATATTTACATTGGAAATTCCCGTCAATCGGCTAACAGCGACATGAACATCATTTCTCTCTTCAAACTTAGTCTTCCAATTTTTCAAATCAAGTGCAAAATGAGCACTTTATTTCGTCTAATAAAAAACGGAATCTGTTAAATATGGCTTGATTTAAAATAATTGTTAGAAACCCTTTCAAAATCGCTTTCCAACAAGGTAAAAAACTTGGCTCAAACCTTGTTTTCGATGTATTCATACGCCTTATTGTTATGTGACAAACTACAGTTATTGGAAAATAAACACTGGTTTGGCTAACTGGTTTATGAAGGGAGTGATAGTAGAAATGTAAATATCTAGTATTAACATATCTGTTAGTTTATCAAGTATCATAGATATTGTTTTATTATAGATATTGGTGATGTTAAAAAAGTTTTTCCTGGTCTGTTATCAGTAAGTGTTTCGTCTGTCAATCATTATCTCTGTCCTAGTCTATTAATTCATACTTTATCTTCAAAGATAAAAGAAAGAATGCCATTAAATGTTTTGATTAATATGGTCATTACAGAATTGAGTAAGATTTTCGACCTTGGAATATTAACATGGAAAGAATGTGTTCTTATCTCTTCAAACGGGTGGTTGCAAAGCTGAAATAATGTAGGTTTTCTGAGATCTTTCATATCATACTGCTGTTTCTTTTCAAGCTTTATTGGCCTAAAAGTCAGTGCAAGGTTTTAATTTTAAGAGTTGACTCCCTTCAATTATAATGATATATCGGAGCTGGACTAACTTGAATATTTCTTTAGGCCACACATGAATGGTTTAAATACTATAAAGTGCCTGATGGAAAGCCAGAAAATATATTTGGTTGGAATGGAGAGGCTAAAAATAAGGCCAAAGCTTTAGAAGAAATACAATGTGCACATGTTCAGTGGACAAAATTAATCCAAGAACCTAATTCATTTGGTTTCAAATGGTATGTATATTAACATAATGTTTTGGTATCTGCAGTAACTATGTAGTCGTACAGCTCTTTATGTCAAGGGAGGCTAATCCAGAATAATTTAAGATAACCTTATTAAGATCTGAGTAGAAATATTTCATGCAGAGATTGTATAAGTGGAGTAAGAATCTGTCATTAAATTTCCTTTTGTGTAAAGCATTTGATCTCTTTGCGCACAATTGGTTTGTTAAAGATCAATTATTTTTCAGTCAGTCAGAAAGTTTTTGTGCATTCATATGTTAATTGACAGTTAAACACAAGACATTGGTATATCTATTGGTATTTGTATCTATTGTTATTTGTACTTTAAGTGAGAACACCAATACCCCTGGTAGTAATATGATAGAAAATGAAGAGGCTAGAAAAATAGTAGATGAAGTAAGTATAGTCAATTTTAAGGCTTTTTTTTTCAGAATATTTTTGTTGATAATTTCATATAAGTTATTTTATAGGGGCATGGAAAAAGCGTCTACTCGTTCGGATGGGACAATAAACTGATGTACAGACTGTGCACGTTAAAGTACCCTCAACAGTTGGAAATTGAAAAAGATCAGGCAGATGCCACTGTCCGGGCAAAATATCCCTTATTGCACCCTGGATGGCGTTGCCCTTCTTCATTAGCCAACATTGTGCAGAAAAGTAGGACGTAAATCTCCACTCATTTCAATTGGGATTGAGTTTAGTTTCATATCATAGTAAAATGGTTAGGGTTAGTGCTTTCATGAGTAGGGTATGTGAATTATTAATCAAATTATGATTACTTCAGTGTCTTTCTTTAAAAACTAAATTTAGGATATATCTATTTATATATTGTCTGAAATCAGCTCTTACAGCAACTTATTAGACTACTATATCTGTTGAATATATCTTACTGTACTCTGTCTATATTATTGAGAGAATTTGTTATATAACATTTTACACTCTTACAGATTCCACCAGCATCTGAAGGTCCACAAATTAGTTCTTCTGGTAAGTTTTATTTCATATGAATCCAAAGGATTTTATCTATGACAGAAAGAAAAGATCCAATTTAAATTTAGCTTTAAAATATGAATTTTCAGAGTTCCAATTTTATTCCCCTTGTTAATAAATCAGTAAATGTAATAATGCAATAAATATCTAAGGTTTTTTCTTTAAACATGTTTTTAAGTTTGACGACGAAGTAATTTCTTATTTACTATTCTAGTAATCGAGATAATCAATAACCTGATTGGACACATTTAACAATTTGTAGTTTTTATATTTCAGTTGATGTAGTACATTATGTGATTCCATCTGGTGAAGTGTGATAAAACCAGATATTCTTAGTTATCTTCATTTTATATTAATCATGAAATTCATCAATCTCATTTTAATACAATAATAGTAGAATCTTCAACCGTATTATTATACAATTAATACCTTGTGGGAAATATATTATTTATACAATTAATTAATTATTCTTCAAAAAGTAGAGCTGATTGCAATACATATCAAATTCTATACCCAGGTCATATTTCTTAAATTACAAAACACCAAAACATCTAAGTATGTCATTGTTTCTTACAATTTGACCTGACATATTCTACATATTTGAACCTTTTCAGTTGCATGCAACATTTTTCTTATTTGATTTGCAATAACCTCTACTTTTTGGTAAAGAGATCTAGTATCTAGTAACTTTTCATGTCTATCAAATTAACTATTCTTCAGTGTGTTATATTAAATTATGATAATTGTTTTAACTTTTGAATCCATCTCATTGTCTTTAATATTACCGCGTTACATGGTAGCTACAATAATAAACCCATTGTATTATTGATCTAGTTGTTATGTTAAAGAATTACATTTTTCTTCATTGTGCTTTGTTTAGTGTAACCTTCTGAATCACTGATTATTGGGTTGATTTTCTTTATGATTTTGACTGTTATTTCGGTTATGTTATCAAAATAAATAGTGTAAACTTTGTATGTAAATTAGAATATAGGCTAAATGACAAGATCTAGACATAATATCTAGAGAGCAAAGATAAACTGGTTTGTTTTCCTGCCTGCTACACGCAGGGCTGACATCGACAGTGTTTTGTCATTTGGATGGGACAATAAACGGTCACCCTGTGTGCTACAGACTGGGCACGTTCCCTTGATCCCTTGGAAATCGAAAAAGACCAGGCAAAAAATTGCACCCTCATTTCACTCAGCATGGTGTTGCTCGTCTTTATTAGCCCACATCGTGCAGAAACGTAAAACTACGTCCATTTCATTTACCCCATAAAGAGTGATTTGTAGCAAAACAAGATTATCTCCCTTTGACCATATGGTACAAGGTTTACTGGTACTCCATCCAGCTTTTTCTCTGCAATACTATGAACCGCAATATTGTAAAATTGTTGCAAGCAATAAATAAAATACCACAAGAATAAGATGCTTGGACCCCCTTTGTCAGATTTGCACATTAGTATGTTATACCTATATCAGATATTATCTATTCTACAGCATATTATACCTATATCAGATATTATCTATAAGTATATTATACCTATATCAGATATTATCTATTCTACAGTATATTATACCTATATTAGATATTATCTATTCTACAGTATATTATACCTATATCAGATATTATCTATTCTACAGTATATTATACCTATATCAGATATTATCTATTCTACAGTATATTATACCTATATTAGATATTATCTATTCTACAGTATATTATACCTATATCAGATATTATCTATTCTACAGTATATTATACCTATATCAGATATTATCTATTCTACAGGATATTATACCTATATTAGATATTATCTATTCTACAGTATATTATACCTATATCAGATATTATCTATTCTACAGTATATTATACCTATATTAGATAGTATATATTCTACAGTATATTATACCTATATTAGATATTATCTATTCTACAGTATATTATACCTATATCAGATATTATCTATTCTACAGTATATTATACCTATATTAGATATTATCTATTCTACAGTATATTATACCTATATTAGATATTATCTATTCTACAGTATATTATACCTATATCAGATATTATCTATTCTACAGTATATTATACCTATATCAGATATTATCTATTCTACAGTATATTATATCTATACAAGATATTATCTATTCTACAGTATATTATACCTATATTAGATATTATCTATTCTACAGTATATTATACCTATATTAGATATTATCTATTCTACAGTATATTATACCTATATCAGATATTATCTATTCTACAGTATATTATACCTATATTAGATATTATCTGTTCTACAGCATATTAAACCTATATTAGATATTATCTATTCTACAGTATATTATACCTATATCAGATATTATCTATTCTACAGGATATTATACCTATATCAGATATTATCTATTCTACAGTATATTATACCTATATCAGATATTATCTATTCTACAGTATATTATACCTATATTAGATATTATCTGTTCTACAGCATATTAAACCTATATTAGATATTATCTATTCTACAGGATATTATACCTATATCAGATATTATCTATTCTACAGTATATTATACCTATATTAGATATTATCTGTTCTACAGCATATTAAACCTATATTAGATATTATCTATTCTACAGTATATTATACCTATATCAGATATTATCTATTCTACAGGATATTATACCTATATCAGATATTATCTATTCTACAGTATATTATACCTATGTGACAAGAGAAGACCTCTTCACATATCCCATACCTTGATATTGTACTTGTTGATATACCATGGCTCATATTTCACTGATGGTTGTCACATGGTTGACAAGGTCAGACGACCACTGACTGCAGACTAGATAGGAAGCAAGCTTCAGTTACAGTTATTCAGCATTGCTGCCCTGTTAATTGTGTAACTTGTGAGATCTGTACTGTGAGAGTAATAAACTGTGTCAACTGTCATAAACTTCATCGTCTGCATTCAAACTCTGCCACATTTGGCGTCGACCGATTGGATTAACTTTTTGCGAAACTTGTGTTTTGTGTAGATGTTCTACAGAAGAAGAACTTTCTAATCTGTGACTGATCTTGGATTATCATTGGGATTTTATAGATGACATTCAGTGTTTCAATAAGATTGAAAGGTGATCAAGATTTGAAATTTGGAATAGATCCAGTTGACTCTGTTGTAATTCAATTTATTGAAATTGGAAGAAAGTGACTAGTTGACTCCAGAGCCTTCTAATTTTGTTGTTTCCTGAACTGAAAACTTTGGTATAGAGTGAATGTGCAGTGGTGTATTCAAAGAGATTAGCGGAGTTTTTCTTGTTTGAACTTTGACCTAGTGCACTGGTGGAGTGGAATTTTCCAGTGAAGTGATTAACTGGTCATTATTGAACTGTGTGTTATTACCTGGTGAATATCAACAGTGGTTTACTGGTGGATATTACAGGGCAGTATTAGCAGTATAGACCAGAAGAGTTTTCAAGAACATTCTTTCATCCTGGACTGTTTGGAACTTTGTTGCACATTTTATCTTTTCTCTTGACACTTCATAATTTAAAGAGACATTTACCACTAATTTTACTTTATTGATAATTTTCATGATTTTAGATTGTATTTGTCCATGTTAAAGTCATTTTTATCTGTAAATTAATTGTATTTGAATATTGTAAAGGTAAATCAATATGGCAGACAAGTCAGGGACAAAAAGTTCAGACAGAGATTACGAACTTGAAATAGAAAGTCTGAGACAAGAATTAGCTCAAACTAAATTAGAAGCTCAATCTACACCTAGGTTTCCATACAGACCTGGTCCCCGTTTTTCTGGTCCAAATTTTAACTCACCCTCATTTGCTAACAAACCTGTAGTTTATCTTGGTAAGAGTCGAGGTCCTAAAAAGTTTAGAGGTAGACCGAGGTACAGTTCTGAAGATCCAACTGTTCATGAATGGATTGAAGAAATTTCGGCAGTGATTGGTAGTTTAAATTTGTCTTCAGAAGAAGAAGCACAGTTTGTGTTCTCTCACTTGGAAGGTGAAGCCAAAGAAGAAATGAAACTTCGTCGAGCTCAAAAGCA